TCCTCTTTACTACTTTGCTTAGTATTTTTTTTAAGTTATTTGATAAACAGCGATAGGCCTGGCATAACCTAAAATATGCATCGGTTATTTGTATGCTTTGTTGAACGATTGCAAAAGTCAAATCAAAAATGTTTAAATTGCACACATTAACGTTCAACAATCTTTCGCCCCAATGTTATTTAGTAGTTTGTTTTACTTTTCGTTGATATTTAATGGGTCAATGACTTTGAATATTTTTGCCTTTGTAACGGTTTATTTTCAGCAACAAAATAAACATCTAAACGGCAAATCCACATGGAATTGTGCTCATCACAGCTCTGTTTTTGCAAAACAGCATCCGCATGCCGCAAAATTGTAAATATATCGAAGTGAAGTTTAGATAGTTTCGCTCCAGATGTTTATTGCATATTCACGTTTTTGATCTCTCACCAGCAGTTTCTACATATATACAACAAGCAAATTGAATTCCAAAAAATGTTTGTAAGGTAACATAGAGCTGTATGTTCATGATAAAATACATTTTTCCATTGTTTTCAAATTGCAAGTATTTATGCTCGGATTACTGCAAAATATTGCTAATCATGAGGTATATATATAGTGCGTTGATTTCGATAACACTTGACTTGTTGACAAATAAAACAATCGATCTCGTTGCCGAGTGCTTCAAAAAATGTTATACATCGGAATCATCTTTTCTTTTTAAAGTTTTGGTTTCTGTTTTTTTAAAACATTCCATTTAAGACTCACCCATTAGCTATGTTTTTTGTTTGTTTTCTGCTTTTCCGCAATTGGCAAATCTTCTTCTGGTAACACCTTGACACTGAGAGTGTTCCAAAACTGTGCATCACGGAAGCGCGTTTGGATGGTCTCCATGAACCTCTGCCAACGCTTCACGGTGGACTCATTCTCTTCTCGTTCATATAGCGCTTAAGATAGTTCTGTGCAATTCTGTAGAAATCACCCACGCATTGACTGGTAAAATGCCAGCATACGATACTGAACTTTTTTCAACCATTTGGTGGACTTTCGATCTAATTCATACACACCAGCCACCTGGCCCACTCTATCAACGCCACTCATAATTTGTATGTAACGACGGATATCAGCAGGGCGAAATTGTTTATTCGGTCCATCTCGTTGCTTTGTCCACCAGCAGCTGTGTTTGTGTGAAAGATGCTCAGCACTAACACTTCTCTTGTATCCTCCCATCAAACTGCTAACGTTCCATGCATATTGCAGCTAAATTTATAATCACCACGGCTGAGTGTTCCTTTAAAAGCTGGATGATTTATTCGGGTTTTGATAGCTGTTCCCACAGCAATGTGGCGTAAATGTACATGCGATGAACTGAAGTAAAAAACCTGTCGAGTGCCACGGCAAGGCAATATTCTAACCATCTGGTATAAGCTAGGGATGCGTTATGTTTTGTGTTATATATATTAGGGTATCTTTCAGCCCATGGCCCAATAGATTCAAAAATATATTCCAGATACATATTCGAAAAATAAATTAGGATTTGACTTTATCCGGAATTAGGGTAATTTTTAAAATCAAGTAAAATTTCAAAAATTACCCTATCGTTTTTTGTTCGTTTTGAATCTCTCTTAGTCGATGAATAAATACTACAGTTACCCCTCTCTCTGCATTCGCCCCGCAAAGTGAAATGAATGTGCAGAATATAGGACTCAAAATATGCAAAGAAAAAAAGTGTCTCAACCTTCCCCACTTTCCCATACATCCATATTTACATCGAAAAACGTATTTATAACTCTTGATAACTGTATGACGCTAAAGTCGTGGTAATTGATCACGTGATAGCGAAATCTAATGAAACAAAGCGAGAAAGTATAGAAAAGTTGGGATAGGTGAAAATAATAGCATTTATAAAACATATTTGCAGTGTCCAAGAAGCTCAACTTTATTACTGTCACATGCGAAGTTTGAAAAAAATGGGTCTTGGGGAGTAAGTCGACACGACACTGTACACATGTGTGCGATTAGAAAGTTGGAAGTGAAAGAATCTGGTACAAATATATCCCAATGGACAAAATGCCCGAGATAAGTCTACATATAACACACAAAGCGAAGTTCCGCTTTTTTCAGTTTTTTATTTTTTTTTCCGCAATTGGTACATCATCTTCTGGTACTACTTGTCACGGAAATCGTGATAAAAGATTGTGCATCACGAAAGCGCGTTTGGATGGTCTCCATGTACCCCCAACACTTCGCAGGTGAACCGTTCTCTTCTCGTTGAATTGATAGTTCCAGGGAAATAGGTATGGCTATATATAATTCCTGTGCAATTTTTTCTAAATTGCTCACTATTGAATATTGATTGACAGCCAAAAATGCCAGCATAAGATAAAGAACTTTTTTTCACCATTTGGTGGAGACTTTTATCTAGTTCATATACACCAGTCATCTGGCTCGCTCTATCTCTATCTATATTTCTTTTACTCATCGCTTCCCTACAAGAAATCCGAAAAACCACCCTCCTATTATTGCTCGATTTACTAACCGAAGAATTCGACATCAGATTTTCGAAAACCGCAACGTTTAAGGCTGCTTCAAATACATTTAATATTAAAGACATGTCTAAAGTTTTCATTTCCGAAATCCTCACCAATAGGAACAAAGACTTATTTTTTCAAGCAAAAGGCGCTAAAAAAATAGATGCGGTTACGCGTACCTATGGACCTCCAATGGAAAAGTCCGGATAAAAAAAAACAGAATGACAAATACTCTTGAATCTTGGATGAAGATGATCTTCCAAAAAATAAAATAGGTCAGGACTTTTTTTAATTAACCTTTATTTTTTTTATATAATCATTATTTTCCATGTCTTCTGAACAATATGTCAATATGGTCATTTTTTTGTGGCCTACCCGATTTTTTTATATGCTGCATTTGTGTGACCTTAAATTTCACCCATTCATGTGTTGCCCCATTGCTCCACCAAATTTAACTACTATTTGTGAAGTGTGGCCTTCCTCAAAATTCTCATGCCTCTTTTCCATATACCTTTTCATGGAATCATTGAACTTGCCCTCTACTATTTGCCCTATTTGACAAGTGAAATACCTAGGAACACTCCCTAATATTAGTGGAACTTTATCCGGCAGCTCAAATCGACTGACTTCATTTTTTTGCATGTCAATATAGATCCCTTCCAAAGCACATTGATGACCTAATGCAAATGTTAACAAGTTTCGACCAACTACCGCATATCATTGCCTTAAGCGAAACTAGACTTAATGAATCTCCTTAGTACTATATTTATAAATAATTACAACTTCATTCATTTTCATCTCCTACCAAGGCTGGGGTGTAGGGATTTTTATACGCCATGATGTTTTTATTTTGTTGACACAATTGAGTTAGACTTAACTTTCCCATTGTGAAGATATATGGATTCAGGTTAATGAATCCTCATCTGATAACCCCAAAAAGTTCATTGTTGGAGTTGTTTACAAACATCCTCGCAACGATCTTTCCGATTTCATGGAAACAATGAATCCCTACTTTCCAAACTAGAAAATTCGAAAAGGCTTTTTATAATCTTAGGCGACTTTAATATTAATTTACTATCCAAGATAATTTGTCTACACGTTACACCTGACATGCTCAATCGCACCAGCCGTTCCAATCATAACGCGCCCAACAAGAAGTAACCTCGACATCACATACATTAATTGATCATATATACACGAATGCAATCGATCGCTGCTCCTCATCTATTATCATACAACATGATATATCGATCACTTTCCCTATTATGTCATCCTTTTCTTTTTTCGAACACAACTTTCCGGTAAGGCCAAACCCCGCATGAAAAGAAAAATGTCTCATTTCAATGAGGAAACATTCAGAAATGATGCTCAAAATGCATTCCATGGATTTTTATTGACAGAATTGTCCACTGATAGCTTCAATGTGGTGTTCAACATCTTTATGACCTCATTGGAACACTTACTCGATGAACATGCACCTATGGTACCTGGTTCTCGCAAAAAAACAAAAATTCTATCCAAACCCTGGATTACGAATGGTATCCAAACATCCATTAGATTAAAAAGTAAAATGCATAAAAAATATTATTTGCATGGCAGTGAAAGCCAACGCGCACATTACAAAAAATACCACATCTTAGTTCACCTACTAAGAAAATCAAAACAAGCCTATTATTTGTCAAAAATGAAAAGAAATAGAGGAGATGTAAATCAAACATGGCAGACAATAAAGGAGATTGTTCTAATAGCAGATGTTCCCACAACAAATGAACATTTCTCGAGCTTTCTAAAAGCTCGAGTCAATTTATATGCAAACAACAAATGTGACCGAAGTCTTCAATACCATTCTTGCTTTGAAAACGGGAAAGGCCACAGGCCCATATAACATCTCTACATTTTTCCTTAAGAAGATTGCTGACACAATCTCACTCATCATAGTAAATTTCTTCAACACGTCTATAAGAATAGGCATATTTCCATCTGCGCTGAAACTTGCCCGAGTCATACCATTATACAAATCAGGTGATAAAACTAACCCATCTAATTATCGACCACCATCTAATTATCAACCAATCTCCATCTTATCATGTCTGGCAATTGTCTTTGAGAAACTTCTGTATTGCAGATTAAGTGATTTTTGTGATGAGAACAAACTAATAAATAAATGCCAATTTGGTTTCCAAAAAAATCACTCAACAAGCCATGCCATAATTGACCTCATAGAATATATCTATGATAAATTCGAGAAGGGAGAGCATGTCTGCTGTGCCTTTTTAGACCTAAAAAAAGCCTTTGATACCGTTAGTCATAGCATACTCCTTCGCAAACTTAATCACTACGGAATTCGAGGTTGCGCGCATGCCCTCATCAAAGATTATCTGCAGGGCAGACTCCAATTTGTCGAAGTTGACTCTCACTGTTCCCAAGTTCTTCCAATCGAAGCTGGTGTAATCCAAGGGTCTTGCCTTGGCCCATTATTATTCGTTCTTCTTATAAACGACATCTCTCATTGCTCTGATTTGATGACCAAATTATTTGCAGATGACACCGGTCTTCTCTGTAGTTCCAAATCTTCACTGAATCTCCAAAATCATGTCAACCTAGAAAAAGTAGTCCACATTAAGCCAAATCACAACCGCGACAAAACTCCTTTAGAAATCAAAATCAATGGAATCGAGCTCGAGTCTGTGCCTTCGTATAAATATCTGGGATTAAACATAGACAATCGTCTACAGTGGGATGTGCACATCAATGAAGTGCGAAAAAAACTTTCACGTTCAGTAGGCATCTTGAGCAAACTCCCACATTACACGGACAGAAATACACTGAAGATAGTTTATTATTCTCTCTTTCAAACATATATCCAATATGCAGTTGTTGCATGGGGATCAGCCTCCAAGTCAAAACTAAATCCTATTGAAGTTTTACAGAACAGGGCCGTTAAAATTCTCTATAGGCTACTGCTCATATTAACATGAATATTATGTATCATGAAACTGGTGTCCTGAAGTATACCGATATTTATCATCTAGAAATTTGTAAGTTGATGCACCAATTCCACAATTGTTGCCTGCCACAGGCATTTAATAACTATTTTGTCAAGCAAAGCAATGTTCACAATTATAACACTAGATCAGCATCCACTTCATCACTCCATGTACCTCGACAGACTTACACTAAAACTCAAAATTCACCCAAATATAAGGGTGTTATTATGTGGAATGCTCTCCGTGCTGATTTACGAAGCATGTCATACCAACTTTTCAAATCAAATATGAAAAAGAATTTCGTGTCGACTTACTTCGAATGTTTGTAACAACCCGACCAAGATCTTTATTGTGGCTGCTTTTATGACACCACCTGAAAAAAAATATAATGTGAAAGGTTATTGAATCACTGCAATGACCTAGTAATTACTGTATACTTGCAATAGTTAATTCTTTCTCAATTTATAGCTCTTGTATCTTTATATGACAAACGTTCATTACTGTATTTACTTTAATGTAGTGAATGAGTTCATATCTGATTTCTGTAATTGAATCAATGCCCTGAGCAATGGCACATGTTATTCATATGTTAAAAAGCAAACAAAACATGTCCTATTAACATGATTTTTTTTGTCGACTTACTTCCAATTGTTTGAAACAACCTGTCTCCTAAGTTGTTGTATTACTGTTTTCATACCCTCACCTAAAACAGAGTGAATAATGTTATTGAACTATTCCTAATGACCAAGTACTGTAAATATGGCTTAGCTGTGATAATTACGTTCAAACTGTTGTCCAGTGCAAATTATTCTTTTAATGGACCACGTCTGCATTGATATACAGTATATCACTGCAGCACTGAGTACCGTTACCGGTACCTACCACGTTCCGTATCTCGTTTAATTTAATTTTAGCGTCACAGATATTCCGTCTTTCTATTTAATGCTACAAGATTTTATTACCTGTTTACTTTGCTCTCAATATCCACCGCGTCTAATTGAATGCCAGTGTTACGCCTTCAGAATCTGACGTTTATTGCCGACTGTTAGACAATGCGCATCACAATACAGCAATAATATTGTTGTGACACAGTCCATTAATGCCATCTCCATGGTTACCAAGTTAGTGGTGTTCAGAGTCGTGTTTTGTTGAAGTGAGCGACTGTTGATTATACCAGATTGCCTCGAGATATTGTATGCATTTTATTTTCCAATTTACTTACACTTGATTCGACTTTTTCTTCTTTATAATATAGTGTCCAGAGTTATTTTATAGGTGCCGCTGCTCGATAACCACCACTGATTTCCCGCGTCCTTTTCATCCTGTAATATGTCCTATTTATAATTCATTGCCATTTGCATGTTTGCGCCTATTTAAACTATGGTTATATATAAACTACTTATTAGTGTTTATAGTGTTCGCAATCAGGCTATTTCTAGCCAATATATACAACACGTATCAGCATTTCAGACCTTTACTTACCCGATTAATCAGGGAATACCCTACGAGTTATCCGGTGGGATGGGATTTTCAAACCTGTAGTGGTACATTTTATTCTTAAAACATAACTTCCGAGTTTCCAAATTAAATTAGATGACGAATCTTGGGTGTCGCTGCTCGATAACCAAATTTGGTTCCCCGCGGCTTCCCTTCCCCAGTAAAAATGTGTGTTAAATTTTGTTTATCTTTTGATTTTGTATTTTATTTTTTTGCTGGTTGGAAAAAATAAAATTGACTATGACTATATATATGACTATCAACGACACTCCACGTTTGTATCCATCAATCTAACTGCTAATGTTTCATTCAAATTGCAGCTAAATTCGGAATCACCACGGCCAAGTTTTTCTTTGAAAAGATTTATTTGGGTTTTGATAGATGTTCTCAAGTAAAAAATCTGTCAAATGCCACGGCAATATCTTCACCGCCTGGTATAGTAGACAGTGAAGGCTTTAACAACATTCTCACCTAATCGACTGTTTCGGCCTCGCATCCAAAGCTTTCTTTATCCAACGTTTTGCAGGCTTCAAGAAAAGATATTTATTGCTTGAAAAAATTCTTTTTTCTTAAATTTACTGAAATCAATACAATAATTGTGCGCTCGATGTACCTTTTTTCGATATGTGACAATATACAAGATAATTATAAAGATTACGTCAATTAATTTGGTATTGAAAACAATAAATTTTCATGCTTGCTTTTTTCGTTTACTTGACTATATTTTTTCTCCGTTGAGGTCCGCGTGGTAATTGTGGGTGATAATGATTTTATATTGTCGTAAGTCACTCATCCGCAGATTGAATTGAACACAGTGAACCAATAAACAAGGCATTTGAACATGCGCGCATCGGTCAAGGATTCCGCAATTGTGAATTGTATTCATTGACATGTGAGAATAACTCAAATTTGATGAATTCCAAGATAGCAAAAACACGATTCCAATCTAGTTATAGTTGGCAGTTTAGCACTTATTTTAAGTTATTTTAGGTCGGGCCTGACATGTCAATCATTACGTCCGGGTGGGGCTTCTCTATCGCTCATTTTTTTTTTAAATGAGACGTTCGTTTCGGCCGTGTTTTGGCCACGGTCTGCAAAAAAAACAGAAGTTGTCTTATCAACACGACACATACTGTACTAAACTCTTGCAATGACAATTCAAAGAACTTCTAAATAAGATATGAAAATTTCGGGTTTGCTTCGGTCTCGGGCCTGCAAATTCAGTCGGGCCTGATACCCACGGGCCTGGTTGCTGGCATTTTTGGGTCCGATTTTACTTCTGACTTATCCACTGAAAAAGTTCATTTTGAACAAGTGGCCTATGCCCGGGAATTTCCAATTTCAATTTTGAACCCTCTCCTCTCTTAAAAAATCCTGACTGCGCTTCTGCTTCTAGATACTGTCAAATTTGAATTACCCACTCGTTGCCATATTTCGACTCCACTGTCGTCAAATTTTATTATTGGTGTTTTTGCTTATTAACAGTTACAGAATAACCAAGTCCTTATTTTGATCGAACATCTCGCGGAGCCCTGGGGCTCCGTACGGAGCACTTTGAGAACCTATGGCTTAGAAGTATACCTTCCATTGAATTTAGTCATTGAGTCATCAAAGTTTTGAAACGGACAGTTCTGCCTCTGCTTCATAATGATTGATTTTAGGCATGAGAGCAAATCTTCAACGTTATACAACTTGCTTTCTTGTTGAGGTTTATTCGGTTTATCGACATACAGTTTCAACATAATCAATTTGATTGTATCCCTTGAAAATGCATTCATAAGAGTTTCACCATGGATTTGTGCTAAAGGAAAATAAAACAGCCAATAAATATCATGATTTGTGCGGAGTGTGATATCTGGATGAATCGTGCAAGATCTAAAGACGTCGAACTTCTTAATTTTGACGTTTTTTTCAGGAATATGCTCCATAGACAACAAAAAACCGTTATGTTTTTATGAATCACTTTTATCTGAAGTTTGAAGACTATTTTCAGTTCAATTTATTTAGCCTAAACAGCAACACAAATTTCTCTGTATGTCAGGAAAATAATTAAATAGGAATCAGTGCTTCGTTGTCTCTCACATTTACCAATCCTAAAACGTAAAAGCGTGTGAGCATTGATCAGTTCCTAAATATAAGAGAGTTTTCTTAAGCACTACCGGCTAGCAAAAAAGCATCAAGTCAAATTTGCCCGCTATCTCGCAACTTAACTTTGAAGTAAAACCAATGTAATTTTAAATTAATAGGGTACGTGCAATTAATTACTGGGTAGTGGGTGCCGGCTTTGGCGAAGTCAAATACCCATGAGAAATCGGGTGTGGACGGATCCCATAAGAATTATCTCCCAAAATCGAGTGTTCACGTTACGCTAAGTCAAGGACCCGCAATCCCATATGTTTATTCCTATGTTTTCGGTACATGTAATAAAGACACGTGGATATGAAAGCATGGTTGTGATTTGTTTTGATTGTTTACGCAGTTATTAAAACGAAGAAAACTAAAGATTAAAAATAATAATACGACGAATAAGATCCTAATAATTTACTGTGAATTAAACATATAATATCCAGACTTCGTGAAGTTGTTTCAGAGGCTCAATGAAAGTTGTTTGAAACAATACTGTAATATAATTAGAAAGTAAGCTTATTATTATCAAAAATACGAAAGAATAACAATTAAAAATCACAAAAATACAATTTACACTAATAAACAACTCATAAAATAGCTTAACCGTGTGGCCATATAACTCACATCAGATGCCGTGATCTTGGACATTCCTCTGTGAGCTTCCTGCTTATGAACGGGGAACATCTTGGGTTGTAAGAGAACCCTGAGATTTCGGTTAAATGTTTACGTGAACGACGGTATTATCCTCCTAAAGTAGCAATTTGTGCCCTATCAGTTTCTCTTTTGTCCAACTTATGCAATAGAAAATATCTGCTCCTGTGCCGTCAACATCATTGTAGTAACACGGCACTGGCATTTCCACACAAGTAACAATACAACTTTCTGCACAAAATATTCCTCTCGCGCTTGTTCCAACCGCGACGCTCCATCCAATGAGGTGGAGTTCAATGACAGATTGCAGAATAGCATGTAGGCATCAATATCAACAAACGGTTGTCAGCCGTGGTCAAATACTGCATTGATGTAATTTATTCAACTAGAATGAGAAGACCCGTTTAATTGCGTGCGTGCTAAACATTAATTAATTGTGTGTTATGTTCCATTTGTTTACGTCCAGATTGTCAACCTGATTGGATTGGTTTACATGACGAAGATAAAATATTCAACGTGGCTATGCGATGTGTTTTATATGTTTGTGTAAGCGATCTTTGAATAAGGTGATTTCGTAATTGCAAGTGTTATATATTCGATGTATAGAAGTATGGATTACCTATAAAAAATTGAAGATAACCGCTTGTTGTGAAATATCTGACAAAATGTAAGCCAGTCCGAGGGGAATTTATAGATTTCGCTTGGACTAAATATTAGTACTGCTGCTCCTGGACTGAGAATTCCATGTACCCTACAAGTTATCATGTTCGTCAAAGGTGGACGATGGAAACCAATATTGTAGTATATGCGTTCTTTCGAAAGATTCACCTCTTGAAAGGTCAATGAAGGCATCCAACGGCATCGATATTTCCAAGCCTGACCATGGTATACATTTTCTGTCCCATCCCATCCCTAGTAATGTGTATGTAATAATGTAATGTAAGAAAAGACTTGCAAAACAACAAAATTTACGGAATTTGAATTTACGGAGTTTGTCAGCTTTATATTCATTTAATATGCATGTGTCCATTAATCCCTTCACGGAGTATTGTTGATGCTGAATATATTTTGCCCTTCATGACTAACAAAAGAGCTATGTTCAAATATATGGACATGAACTCCATAACGAAATGTTTTAACATAATTTCCCCAAAATCGTACGGTTTTCGTGTCCCATGGGAAATACAGCGGTGTGCTGTCCCATCCCATCCCTAGTAATGTAAGTAATGTGTATGTAATAATGTAATGTAAGAAAAGACATGTAAAACAACAATATTTACGGAATTTGACAGCTTTATATTCACTTAATATGCATGTGTCCATTAACCCCTTCACGGAGTATTGTTGATGCTGAATATATTTTGCCCTCCATGACTAACAGAAGAGCTATGTTCAAATATATGGACATGAACTCCATAACGAAATGTTTTAACATAATTTCCCCCAAAATCGTACGGTTTTCGTGTCCCATGGGAAATACAGCGGTGTGCTGTCCCATCCCATCCCAGGGACAACCCTGGATATTTCCGTAAACGATTCATGAATACGAGAAGCACTAAGCTGAGCTTTTTTTAAATAGTTTAAACAGTATTGCACTTAGTCTATTATTAGTGAGAAAATAGCGGGTAACGTTACCCTTATTCAGAAAAGCGACGGCAGCTGCCGCATAACATAAAATATGCATCGATTATTTGTATGCTTCGTTAAGCAATTTAGATATTTTCGATTGACTTTTGCAATCTTTCACCGCAATGGTTTTATTTTTGGTCGATATTTGCTGGGTGTATGATTTTGAATATTTTGTCTCCAGAATGGTTGATTTTTAGTAACAAAATAAACGGCG